TTTACTGCTCTAGTCTTATGCGCATGTGTAACTTCTATTTCTGAACTAGATGTGGAAGAATTACTTGAATCGCTGTCCGAAGTATCTGAATTGGAAGAAGTATCCGAATTGGAAGTGCCCGAATCTTTCGATTTCCCAGGAAGTATTTTGTAAAAATCATGAATATCTCTTTTATTAACAGATACTATTACTCTCTCCCCTTTCTTCTCAGTTAGGTTTTTAATACGCAAAGTTGTTCTTACCCAGGCATCTTCTGCATCGGTCACTATTTCTGGTATATAAGTCTGGAGCTCATCATCATCATATTTGCGTCCATAGAACCAATTATTACCAAGCATTATATAATTAGGTAATGTAGAGTTATATCTATCAACCAGTACTTCGGTTGGAATCGTGATAGATTTTTTATTATTAAGACGGATATTATCTTTTATATTAGATGTAAATGTAAGTGGGATTACGGCCAATCCAAGTGGAGCTGTGGCTTCTTCTCTGATGAATTTGCTATCTTTTTCTTCGAGTGTTAATTTTCTGCTAATTTTACCACCTATTTTCTTGAGGAGCTTATCAGTACACATTGATAGTCCGAGAAATCCTGGTTCGAGGCGACAATTAATTTTCTGCGATCCTACTTTAGCTTTGACTATTTTCATGGTATGTTATATTATGTGATACATATTTGACCGAAAAAATAACTAACAATTAATTATCCATTTCCTGCTAGTGGGTGCAATTGTTTATAACCCACGATGAATGATTAGGAATAAAATCGATATTATGTGTCTCGACACTAGCTCCGCTATTATCTTGTATCATTCCACTTATAACCGGGAGAGGTACATCCACTGCTTCAGAATCACTAGATTCAAACTCTGTTTCAGAATCACTAGATTCAGACTCTGTCTCAGAATAATCTGAATTGTAATATTCGTTTAGATCAATAAGGTTATTCTCCATATTTTGGTCAGAAAACTCGATTAATATAACTTCCCCATCTGAATTAATTGCAGAAAATTTAGGAAATAATAATTCGTAGAATGTATATAATGAAG